TTTTATGATACCTGGGTGAAAGGTGCAAGCTATTGCGTGTGAAGAGGTCTTGTAATCTTTTTACCTAGTCTGGCCTTGAACCACAATTCTCCCATTCTCTGCCTCTCAGTTACAATTACAAGTATGAGCCACTGGCATCTGGCCCAATTTGTTTATTCTTGAAGATAAGAATTTAGTCTTTCTCAATTTTGTGGTCTCACTGTCTGTCACAGAAGCTTTGAGAATACAGGCTATAATAGTTAAAATGTTGTTGAAAGTATGAAGATTTGATGAACAACTTACATATATATATATTTTATCTTAGATTGACTTGAGCAATATGGACACCTTAACATTAATTTTTCCAGTCCTTATAAACGCAGGCATCTGTACTTGTTTTTTTTCCCTGCCAGTCTTGGGGCTTGAACTCAGGGTCTGGGCATTGTCTGTCCCTGAGTTTCTTTTGCTCAAGGCTAGCACTTTACCACTTGAACCACAGTGCTACTTGCAGCCTTTTCTGTTATATGGTCTGAGGAATTGAACCAGGGCATATATATACTAGCTCACACACACATACACATATATAATTGAACTTACTAGAGGATCTTGAAATTTAAGTAAATACTATATAGGGTGAATCTTATAAAAATAAGTATCTTTAAGAGGCTACCTAAAAACAATTGTTTTGCCCAGCACCAGTGGCTCACATTTGTAATCCTAGCTGCTCAGGAGGTTGAGATCTGAGGATCACAGTTCAAAGCCAGCTGGGGCAAGAAAGTCCCTGAGACACACTATCTCCAATTAACTACCAAATAGCTGGAAGTAGAACTGGAACTCAAGTGGTAGAGCATTAGCCTTGAGCAAAATAATGCCCAGGTCCCAAGTTCATAGCCTAGAACTCTCTCTCTCTGTGTCACACACACACACACACACACACACACACACACACACACACACACACACACACACACACACCAGAGCAGAACAGATCCCAGGTGTCTTACACAATGCAGTTGATTGTAACTGTTTTCATGAATCTGGTATATCCTCTCCATATGGTGGTGACAGTGGCCCTCTGGTGGCCCTAAAGGTTAGAGTATCACGGTGGGGCTCAGGCAATACACCTTGTGGCCCAGGAGGAGTAGAACATACAAGTTTGGAGTCAGAGGAAAACAATGGCAGAAGACAAATATTGTAAGCAGTAATGGTATTATGAACTTGGTGGCAACTTGGCCTTTCTTGCTATCGTTAACCTGACAAAAATTCTAAACGAGTAAACCAATAGTTGCCATAGGGAATCGTAAGATGAAGTGTATGATCTCTTTATGTTCAGCACTCACCTTGTGGTTACACTGGTATACAAATATGTTGCTGCACAATCATATCAATCATGGTGAAAGTCCTGGAAAACATCAATCATCACAACATACTAGTGATAAATATCCACGAAATCACCATGTAGACTACCACATCTGTCCATTGATCCAATACTACTGTGACCTGCTTTTTAAATTTCAACTGCTGTGCAGTATGTCAGCTAGAACAGTTGCTCATGTTCAGAAGCCTGGGATATTGCAGATCTTGTTGTATCCTTAGAGTTGAGGATATGGCTCAAGTGGTAGAGCTTCTGCCTGGTAAGTGTGAGGCCCTGAGTTCAAACACAGAACTGAAAAAAAAACCCACCCAAAGCAAATATTTTGATATTGTGTGTGTGTGTGTGTGTGTGCACGCGTGGGCCTAGGTATGGTCCTAGAATTCTTTGGCTCAAGGCTAGTGTATTATTTGAGCTACAGCTTCACTTCTAGCTTTTTGTGGTTAGTTGGAGATAAGAGTCTTACAGATTTTTCCTGCCCAAACTGGCTTTGAACCATGATCCTCAGATCTCAGCCTCTTGATAGCTAGGACTGCAGGCACAAGCCATTGGTGCCCAGGTTGACTTTTATTTATAAGAGTTCTTTGTTGCAAATTAAAGCAAAGTGGTTTATCAGTATGCCTATTTGTAATCTGTCTTTCTCCCCATGTATATCTTCATTCATTTATCCATGTCTCTTTCCATGCATCATCTATGTATGTATCCATATATTTGTACAATGTGTATCCATCATTTATCTGTCTATCCACCCATCTAGTCATCTTTCTCTGGTCTCGGCCCAGTGGAAAGTAGGAACTCAGAGTTTGTGGAATGAATAATGTAGGAGCTTTTACTTTATAGTGTCATTCAAAAGAATTGTACCTCCTTATTGATGAGTATTTTTTGATATTAGTTGCTGTCACCATTATTTCTGCTCTTGATGATTATTTACATTATTGAATGAAATATAAATCCCAACTAAATATATCAAGGCGTCTTGGTTTTTAGAAGAAACCAGGATGAAATCCTTGGGGAGCAGCAGTTGCAAATCTGCTCTCCCTAAATGGAAAATTCATATTTGCAGAAAACACCTTTGTGTATATTCTCACTGTGTGTAAGTGGGGAGGACAGACAGAGACAAAAGGGAGAGACACAGAGTCAAGAGAGATAAGAGAGACATAGAGATAGAGGAGAGAAACAGAGGAGAGGGACAGAAAGAGGGAAGAGAGAGAGAGAGGAGAAAGGAGAGAGACAAAGACAGAAAGAAAGTGAAAGAAAAGCCACAGAGGAGAGAGGAGAGGAAGAGAGGAAGAAGCAGGGGAGAGAGGTCCAGCTGCCTCCTTCCAGAATGTTAGGTGAGGTCCATGCATTAGAGAGGTCCTGAATCCCATAGTCTAAATGACATTCCTTTGCTTTAAGGTAACTTCCCCAAATGCAAAGCTATGGGTTTCTAAAAGGAACCACCAATAAATTTATAACAGCTTGGTGGTTCAATAAGTAAGGGAATTTATTACAAGACTAGGAGGTATGATTATATTCTTGAAGACGGATTTAAAAATAAAAACAGGGCTTAGGAGAAGTAGAATTTTATATCACAACATTTGAAATATAAATTTAAAAAACTAGTTTAATTGCCATAATTTATAAATATTTATTTCATTCCCTTTTGATTCAAGCGACTTTAACATTTCAGAAGTGTGTTCACCAGTTACACTGGGAAGGCCTCCCGGGGACAGCACTGAGGTTGTGGGGCACCTGGAGAACACCTGCTCCGGGAGCTCAGCACTTGCTGGCATGAGGCAGCGGGGCCCCTGGCACCTGTGCCCATGGCTAGCTCCTGGGTGTCAGTCTGTCCCTCTCCTTGGCAGGCCTTGCTTCCTTCTCACTGCCCTTCTTCCTGGTGTTTCCTGGATCACCTCTCAAATAAACTGGGGTCTATCCCTAGAGAAAGTCTCCATGTGACCTGGAGCTGGCCCACACCAGATGCTTGTCCCACAGCAGAATCAGGACCGAAAGGGGTTGGCCTCCTGCCCCCTCTGGGTGTTGCAAGGTGGGTGTTGTCAAGTCCCAGTGTGGGACTTCATCTCTGTATTTCAATATGGATCCAAGTTGCAATTGTTCAGATGGAGTTAAAGGAAAAGGGAGGGAGGATGGCTTTAGAGCAGTAGGAAGGTGGAATGAGATGGACTACCTCTGAGGGAAAGTGCACGTGTGGCCCCCCCCTTGGCAGGGATTTGATACTATTAGGCGATGTGACGTTCCTGTTTAGTGGGATGAAAATGCACATAGGGAGGTAGTGTCCTTGGGCGATAGGTCGTGTGCAGGTGATAGAGAGGAGGTGTGGCTGAGGTATGAGGAGTCAAGGGTCAAGTGCTTTGGCAAACACAGACCACTGCTCCCTATAGGAGATAGAAGCTCTACTTCATGCCTTTTTGTTCGCCATCACCATCTGTTCCCCAAAGCCAAAGAATGCTCCTGTGTGGATGAGTTTTCCTTAAGTGAGGCAGAACAGACAGAAGGCTGTAAATATTGTATACTTTCTAGGACCATTTTCTTTCAGAATATTAAGAATTCACATCAGCATTTGACAATAGCTCATGGGAAAAATGCTTTGCTTGGAAGAAGATAGAAGAGTTTGAATAAATGATTATTCCTTATATTGGAAGCATCTTTCAGGACGTAGTTCTGGAGACGGGGGTCAACCTAGGTCATGTGGATGGGTCCTGTGGAAGAGGTGGGGGCTGTGAGCAGAAGACCCTGCCCTAGGATGAGGGAGGTAGAGGGGACAGTGAGGCAGCCACAGCCAAGAGCTCCCTTCCCTGGAGCGTCCTGCAGGAGAGCGGCCCTCAGACTTCTGGCCTCCACACTGTGAAAGTAAGGTCCTATTATCTCAGCCAGGCTACGGGACATTTCTTTGGGTAGTTGTAGATTAAAGTAGACCCTGCTCTAGTCCTATGAAGACTTGTTTTCTGACAACCAGACAGGGTGTGAAATGCGGAGTCAGCCATTATTGTAATCATCAGGCAGGTCGGGAGATGTCACCTGAATCACTGGTCTGGCCCAGAGGTTTGTGAGACAAACTGCATACGAGACAACAGGCAAGCTGTAGAGATAGGACTCTTCAAGCCACACTTCCAGAATCTTGCTTGTGGCTTATGTTCTACCACCTGAGCACTTCAGCGTTTTGCTGATTAACAAGATGGAGATGGATTTTTTTGCCTGGGCTGACTTCAAACTGTGACGCTATGATATGAGCTTCCTGAGCACCTAGGATTATAGACAAGAGCCTCCAGTGCCTGGCTGTGACCACATTAAAAAAAGCCTCACACATTTAAATGAATCTCACATAGTTCCAGTTTTTGGTTTTTTTTTTGCAGTGTAAATCTCAAACTCTGAGGGGTTGGGAATGTTCCAACCCCTAACACTAACCAGCCACGTGATGGTGAGGTTTGCAAATGCTAAGGTCCTACACAAGCTCAGTCATGGAAGGGGATGTGTGACAGAGAAGGATCCCAAGTGTGTACAGTGTATATGGCTCCCCAGGAGGTATTTATCATATAGTTCACTGTGTTTGTCTCAAGTCAGACTCCAAAGTATGTGGAAGATGCTTCTGATACCATTTTGATAGTTTTAATTTCTTTCTGTGGGATTTATGAAATTATACAATATAAAAGCATAAAATACTGAAATCTTTTATTTACATTGCGTAAAATTTTCAGTAAAAAATTCACATCATGAAAGTAGAATAGAAATACTGTCATGATTGACAAAGAAAAAAATGCAAAATACACTGTTTCATGATTTCTCACAAGAAAATCTCTAATTTGGTTTGCCTAAACAAATCAAATATCTTACTCCATTTGCTTTTTGAACAATGTTCTTGCTCCTGTGAGCTGATTCTGGAAGAGGGTTGTGAACATAGTTGTGCTTCTGCACTCTCCACATCCTTCAGAAAACAGCATCCTTGCTCGATTCTTTTAACTGTCTTGAGACCGATTATCTTCAATGACAATTGTTCTTCTAGGAAAGGATTCTGTTTCCACAAATATATATCGGAATTCGTATTTGCCATTCTCTGGGTTCTAAGGAGAAATGTATTTCCAAGTGTTAGTTCCGTCAGTGGAGCTTAAACAGCACACTCCAAACCACTACCACCCCCCCTCCCCGCCAAGATCCTCACACCTCTTTGACTTCCACGTGCACTGTTCCTTGCTTCCCTGGCTCGGACCCCTCAATGTAGAACTTCAAACGCATGTGTTTCAGCCCATCTTTAACATATTCAATGAAACTGTGGAGAAAATGAAACCATACGGGCATAAGTTCCTTTTGTTTAAAAATAATTTACGGGCTTCCCAACTCCAAAGGGATGGTGGTACCTGACATGCTGCCTCCGTCCACGTCTCGACATTTCCCCGTAGCCTTTCAAAGGTTTACCGAAAATACTGATCACCTGCGGTCGAGACAATGCTTCCTTAGTGTCACTTGTTAAATGAGTCCTAGGGAAATATTTTCTGACAGTGAAAAAAATCAGTGAGGCTAAGGCTCTTCAAAAGATGGTGACTCCAAGAATAAAAAAACGACCAAAAAGGCTAGGCCTGGAACATCCTGTAAGTCATGCACAGAAATGGTTATCTTAGGGTGGTATCTGTCGTTTCAAAACAACAGAACTACAGGTTTCTTTTCACAGCTAGGTTGTCTTGTTACCGCTCTGGATTGTCTTCATTATCAGAGTTCTCAGGCATAAATGAAAAGGAATAATATGCAAGATATTTGACAGACATCAGTGTGGTGAAACAAGCGGAGCAATTGTCTAAATAAACGACTTTAATAAATGGTTAAACAGCATCAGACACTAGGATTTCTATTTTTCAAACATGCCCACCACTTGGCAGAGTGGCTCTTAAAATGTACCGGCAAAACTAAATGGTTAGAGTTTAATTATCATCCACCGAGGTCCCTTAGGCAGTAGATTAAGTGATGATCTTATTAATATCTCATTTTTCATGTTTAGTCTGTGGAGTTCTGTTCTCAATGCTGGAAACTCTGAGACTGAGTTTGTTTAGCACACTGGATCACCTCAATTCATCTAGGTATCCAATGAGGCTCCAGGTACTTCCTATTCCTACTTATTTCTGCAGAAGGGAAAGAGCCAAGCTTTTCCTTCTTTCCATTTTAATTGGCTCTTATCAAGTTATACAGGAGGGGATAGTCTATTATGGCAGTACTCAATCTTCTTTATCCTCCTCTCAGGTACAACCCTCTTTCCATCTCCCCACCCACCCAGAGTCTACTTCTCTTCCCTCCCATCCCATTGATTATCAGCTTTTGTTCCTTTTCTCTGGGCTGCTCTCACACCTGTTTATTATTCACCCTGAAAGAACATTTCCTGTCAGATATAATTTAGAGTCCCATTAACTTCCTTAGTTCCAGCCACACTTTCAACTTTTTTTCACACGTGTCTCCCTCCCTCCCTTCCTCTAGGTGTTCCATAGGCTTTCTAATCAAGAGAAATCTGTACATTATTCTTGTTATTAGTAAATAAAATTGGCAGCATTTACTGGCAGCCCAATTACACACAGAAACCACCATCTTCCAGGTCAAATACAGTTGATTTTCATCACCTTGTCAAAGTCAAAGGCTCATTCCCTAGGCAGCTTCATTCCATCACTCAGGGGTGATCTGTGGGCTCACCTCTTTCCCTGCCCAGGGACCACAGACTCTCTGTCCTTTGACTTCATTGCTTGGTGAGGAGCAGCCTGGATTTTTGTGATGCTGTCTCCTGCGAGTTTTCAGGGCACTGGGATTAGGATTTCAGTGCGGACCATTTTTCCATTCGGAAGCTTTTCACTCAAGAAATTTGGCATGTCACCGGGAGCAAGCCACGTGGGCTATGGACTGCCTTCTTTCAGGCAGGCTTGTTCAGAGAAGATACAGCTTGTCCCCACATCTGCACTTCTAGGGAGTAGCTGAGGTAGGCTGTGCTCAGGAAGGTAAGATCTGGTATCAGACAGAGTTGGTCTCAGGTCTCAGGTCTGGCTCTCCCATTTACCAGAGACGATGGCTGTGTTAGTGAATAGTGCAATTATAGGAGATGCAAAGGGTTTTTATAAGATTTAGCAGGATAATGCACTGTAAATCCTGGCATATGATATACTGGTAAGTGCCAACAATTATTGTTATGATCACGGATCACAAATCTTGATTTTGAAAAGACTATAAATTCATCACTTGAGTTTGCTACTTCAATGTATTTTAAGCATTTAATATCTATGAACAACCAGTAAAGTATCTCACTTGCACAGTTAGGATAAAAATATCCTACCTGACCTCTGGGTGTCATCAACATGTTTCAAGTACAAAAAAGGCCTTGTACCATAAAACCAACACCACCAATGTATTACTATATATTTTTACTGATTTCTCAGCTGGAATTTGAATTTTTATTCTCATGTGTATGTATGTGCAGATCCTGGGGCTTGAACTCAGGCCTAACTACTGTCCCTGAACCTTTCTGCTGAAGGCTAGTGATCTACTACTCGAGCCACACTTCCACTTAAAGCATTCCTGCCTGGGCTGGCTTCAAATCACAATCCACAGATTGCAGCCTCCTGGGTAGCTAGGCACCAGGCTGCAATTTGAGTTCGGCCCACTTTTTCCTCCCCAACATGTTCTCCCTCTCATCAAAGAACTAACCTCCGGATGTATTCTGCATTTTTCTAAGGCTTTCCCATATATCTTATTAGGACTGGATGAAGAAAAAAGTTCTTTGAAAATCGTGTATAACAAGCTACCTGAAATCACAGAAAAAGAAGATGAGCCAAGGCAACAGCAAGATGAAAAGGTATGTTAAAAGTTATTTGCGAGTGTGGTACTTGCTGTGTTTTTCAACCTGTAATGCTGATTCCAATGAGCACCACTATTAAGTAGGTGAAATCTCTCCCAGCTTCTCTCACTGCAAAGAGAAAATGGCACTAAATTACCTGTGTGCCCACTGTAACCCGATTCACCCAGGGCTTCAGCATTTCTAGTGGGTGACACGGAGTTAAGAGTCCAAATGAGTGGTTCTGTTATGTTCTCAGTAGTTGTTTTCCAATGTCCTGGACCATAAAACTTTATGGGCGCCTTGGAGTAGGGCTTAGAACTCTCTCATCCAAGTGCTAACCAGGACCATCCTCACTTAGCCTTCAAAATCAGATGAGAGTGGCATGCTTAGGGTGGTATGGATAGGGCCTAGGAATCTCTGCTTTTCTTTTAAATGCTATAATTGGAATACTATTTATTCTTTTTTTTTTTTTTTGGTCCGGTCGTGGGGCCTGAACTCTGGGCCTGGGCGCTGTCCCTCAGCTCTTCAGCTCAAGGCTAGCGCTCTACCACTTGAGCCACAGCTCCACTTCCGGTTAGCTTTTTTCTTTTTGCTTATGTGGTACTGAGGAATCGAACCCAGGGCCTCAGGCATGCAAGGCAAGCGCTCTACCACTGAGCCACCTTCCCAGCCCCTACTATTTATTTTCTAGAAGGTAGTTCTCTTAAGTCCCTCAGAATGACTTCCACAGGTCTGCCTCACACAGATTAAGCCTGGCTTTGTCAACTAAAGCCAAGAGACCAGAGAACAAAATGGATATTAACTCTTAGTTGTTAGCAGTCCTCCCAAATGCCATTTCACCATGTTCCCTCATTGACTGCATAAAATACAATGTGGAATGGAATTTTCCTGTTAGAAAGCTTTACAAATTAAACTCAGAAAATGAAGAATCTACAAAGATAATGCTCTTTACGTATTTTTTCCAACACTAATAAAAAATGTGTGATCCTGGCATGGTGCACAGCCTTGTAATCTCAGCACTTGGAAAGCACGAGGATTACTGTGAATTCGAGGCCAATTTGGACTACACAGCAAGACCTGTTTCAACCACTGTTTCCAAGTATGTTGATATACAGGTTAAAGAGAAGTCCTGGGGTGGGGATGGGGTGTAAAGAAATATAGCCGTTATGTACCTATTATATAGATATTTTCACTTATATATGAAGGACTACTACACTGAAATTATAACTATACTTTTCTACAGATATTTAGGGCCTTTTATGTTATTATACAGACTAATTTATTCATTACATCAGAAACTCAGACTTATGTATATCTTTTTTGCATTAAGCAAAATTTTAACAGTTGTTTTTATTATCTCTATTTTTACCTTTTGTATGTAAGCTTCTACTACTTTTATGAGATAGTACGTATAGTACTCTTTAGCATAACACAATCCAACTTTTCATTAAAAGTTAAAAGATATGATTAAAAATGTCAGAGACTGCATCTCCTAAAACATGTGTAACTCATGGGACCAATCCAGACAATAACTGCCATCACAAATCTAATTTGTACCAGGTATACAAGTTGATAGGCTTTCAATGACAACATCTCATTGTTGTCCATTAATGTCATGAATTATACTTAAATACTAGCTTCCAGCTGTGTGCCAAGTCCTAAGTTAAGAGTATAGTAACAACTGCCCCAACGAGTAGCCATATTTGTGCCTATTACACAAATTAGGCTCACATACTCTGGATTCCTAATTAACCCTCCTAACATTCCTGTGTGTCTACAGTATCTCTAGGCCTATGCTAAATACTACTCATTAAAAAGACTTCTGTTTAGTATTATTTTATAGATGTCTCCAGTGAAAACTGCTCATCGTCTACTTCACTCTTCTGAGTTCTCAGTCCTAATATGTTTATCCACAAGACTTCTTGCTATTCTACAATTCTCTAATCTTCATGCTGTGGTGGGGGTACTGCCATTGTGAGAACACTGGTGGCTGTCAGTCTTCGGTCAAGTTCCTTTCTGAGCATTCTTTCTTCTGAAGAGTCTCCTAGGACAGTTCTTTCCTGCACCTGCCTGAGGCCTCTTTTGCCATGTACTTGAGCTGCATCCTGGGCCAGGTCTTGCTTGCTTCCCTGACCCTTACTGAGAGCACTCCCTAACACTCCCCTGTTAAACAAAGCTCTTGAATCTGCTTCCTTGGAAGCATACCTACAGCAAGGGCTACCAAGAGTGCTCCTAGAAAGCCATCTCAGATTAAGATTTGGGGACTGGGACAATAGTCACCCACTGGCCATGGGGACCCTGTCCTTGGTTGTAGATGGAGGATTCTGTTGGTAGTGTTAACTGTTGCAGCTCTCACCCATGAAGATGAACATACTTCTGGCTTTCTGACAAAATTATGCTTCACGCTCTTTGTTTCATGTGTTCTTCCTATCACTGCACCCAAGTGTGTGTGATGGCAAGAGACGTTCTCAATTCAGTTCCTACGGAGTTTAACTCAGTATGTGGGAAGTTATTAAGTAAAATACTTATTGAGCTGAGGAACAAAACACTTTCGCTGCTTATCACGATTTAATCATACCTGTCTGTTCTACTTATCCTATCCACTTCTAATATTCCTCAGACTAAGGCTGAGAAAAATTTCCATGACAGAAATGCGACGAAGTGATACCAAATTCAAGCTTTTAAGTGCGTTTCAGTCGGTGAACCTAGCTCTGTGTTCTGCGTTTCTAAGTCAGTCCTGCCCCATGGGCTCTACCTCGTGATCTGCGTGTGAACTGTCTTGGCAGCTGGCTGTGAGCTTGGCACCGGGGCGCTGGCCGCGCCGGTCAGCGTGGCTGGGGCCTGGTCTCTGCGGAAGGCCTCCTGTTACCTTTCTGGGACGGTGACGCGGCGGGTTCCAGTCTCTCACTTCGGAGCACCGGCACCGGCTTGCCGCCGTCGTCCTTGGCGTTCCGCGGCCCGTGGGCCTGCGACCAGATGTTTTTCGGGGCGACCGTGAGGACGGCCTTGGGGGGCGCCGTCCTCCTCGGCCCCGGCGGCCGCCACCGCGCGCCGGGCTCGGCCCCCGGGCAGGCTCTGCCGGGCACGCACGCCGACCGCAGCAGCCGCCTCCCCGACGCCGCCGTCTCCGCAGCCCGCAGCAGGACGCGGATCATGTTTCCAGAAAAGTCCCGCTCGGGGACGGGGCCCAGACACCGTGCGTGCACACACTCAGCCGGGCACGAGCCCACATCCACACACTCACATTGCAAGCGTGGCAGGGAGAGCTACGTCGAACGAGGACTTCTAATCGACGCCCTCGGGCCCATTTTCCTGGCGAATACGCGGACCTTCAGACCAACCCCGCCATACCTCCGCAAGGCACCCTGGGAAACACCTAGGTGTCTTGGGAACCGCAGTTGGACCACTTCACCCTCAACCACGTCGGCGCAGAGAGAAAAGTAGAAGGGACTACATCTCCCACAATGCCTGGCGACGAGCGCCGCGGGCCGCTCAGAGCTTCCCAGGCATCTTTGCGCGCGGAGCGGTGCGCACGCGCCGCACGTACATCCGGTGGAGGAGCGGCCTGCTGCTGCTGGAGCTCGCGGAAGGCGACCTTCTGGCGTGGACTTTGCCAACAGAGAAGGCCCGCCGTCTTGTCATGGCCCTGCCAGACGGCAAATGAGTTTCTGCCTTCCCTGAGGCCCCGGCTAAACCAGTGGAGACGCCTGGGGCCTCCACAGAACCGGCCGGGGTGTAGTAAACAACGAAGGGCGGGCCCGCTGCCGAGCGTGCCGGGCGCCAGGACGGCGGGGGCTGGGAGCAGCCGGCTCCGGAAATGCCTCGGGCTCCCCTCCCAGA